CACACGTTTCGTGGCCCCATAGGGGGCTCCACCAAAGGTCCCAGTGGGTGTGCCCGCATGCGTCCCGCACGCATATTTCGGCACACCCCTCACACGTTTCGTGGCCCCATAGGGGGCTCCACCGAAAGCCCCAGTGGCAGGGTTCGCATGGCAGCCCCGCCTCCTTTTCGGCACACCCCTTACACGTTTCGTGGCCCCATGGGTGACTCCACCGACGGGCCCAGTGGCAGGGTTCGCATGGCAGCCCCGCCTCATGTTGGCACACCCTCCTCACGTTTCGTGGCCCCATAGCGAGCTCCACTGCAGGCCTCAGCGGCGGGGTTCGCATGGCAGCCCCGCCTCATTTCGTCGCACTCCCCGTTCGTTCCGTGGCCCCATGGGGAGCTCCACTGCAGGCCTCAGCGGCAGGGTTCGTATGCTTTCTCTGCCTACTTTGGCACACCGCTCACAAGTTTTGTGGCCCGTAGGGGGCTCCGCCGAAGGCCCCAGTGGCAGCGCCCGCATGCGTCCACCAGCCCACTTCGGCACACCCCGCACACGTTTCGGGGTTCCCATCCGCGTAGCCCCGTGTTACATCTCTCTCGCGGCGCGCTGCCTATGAGGAGAAGGTGATATCCTACGTTATTAGCAGCTGCATATGGTTGGGTCCTTCGCCAGGCTAATTGGACCCTGACCCCGCCGATTGTGTGAGGGGTTTCACCGAATTTCAGAAATGTGGCAAATCCTTTGTGTTTGATGGACCCTGACCCCGCCGATCTGCGTGAGGGGTGTAAATTTTTACCCACCCCTGCAATTCAGAGCACACGCTCAGGGCGTGGTAAACATGCACGTTTTGGCCCCCCCCCCCCTCGCGCGGTCAATCAACAAGGAACAGTAAGCAGCAAGAGGCAGAACTTTAGCAGCGGAAACTGGAAGCTGCAACTGGTACAGGAAACTGCGAAGCTTCGGCCTACAGCCTGGTGGCCCCACAAGGGGGGTGGCGGATATTATTGTACATATGTAAGCCTAAACCTATGTATGTGTATAATGTAAACGTGTGCAAATGTATGCTTGTTATGGTTGTGTGTATCATGTATGTATACAGTATATGTATATAAACTTGTGTGTACCATGCATACAGTTACATGAAGTTGTATCGGTGTATCTATATGTAATGGTGTATGAATGTACGTATACCATACAAACATGAGTGCTTGTATCCGTCTGTGAATATGGCGGTGCATGTGTACATGTGTGTTCAGGTTTGTGTATGCGTGCGCGCTTAAGTATAGGTACCGCGTGTTGGCACATACACACACATCTACCGTGTGCATATGTGGCGTGGATGTGTATAATTGCTATGATTGTGTGTACGCGTACGTCTATCTGTCTGTTGGTGTGTATTTGTATGTGTATGCCTGTGTAGATTTCAAAACGGTATATACATGTTTGCGTGTGTGGGTTCGTATGTGTGTATATATATATATACATACTTGTATCCTTTATGTGCACATGTGTATATGGCTGCATAATCATGCATACGCATGTGTATGCTGCTATGCACATGCATTCTTCCAATGCGCATATATATACATATATATATGTGTATATATGTGACGCTGTATATGTACATACTTATGTCCATGTGTAGGTATATGTTTGATTATATGAATATAGGATGGTCAAGGCATGATGTGCAATCTCTGTTGTGCAAGTTGTGCGGTGTAAGCGCACGGGACGCCCACGGGGCGCCGACACGCGGGCACTTGGCGAGACCTTTTGGGGGAAATCTACCCTAGCGCGGGGCTCCAGCGAGGCGCCCACAGGCGGGCACCATGCAAAACCTCGCGCTAGCCTCCACGCGCGGGGCGTCCATGAGGCGCCCACGTGCACCCACCAACCAAGCACCAGCCGCGAACCCTGGAAATTCATTCATTCCCGTTGGTAAGCCAAGTGAGACCTTCTCATTGCAAACCTTGTTTTGGGAGGTGGGTCGGTTGGCGTTTAAGGCTGTGTGTGTATATTCGATGTGTGTATGTATAGATAGATGTACAGAGAATGTTAGATCAAAGTACATGTAAGGTGACTTACTGGGAGAGGAAGAGACAGCGAGAGAGAGAGAGAGAGATCGCTCTCTCTCTCTCTCTCCCTCTCTCCCTCTCTCTCTCTCGAGATATATATATATATATAGAGAGAGAGAGAGCGAGAGAGAAAAAGAGAGAGAGAGAGAGAGCGAGCAAGAGAGAGCAGCCAAGGACATCTGAAAGCTGAACCCGACCTCCCCCAAACAACAAGCAAACAACAATCCCAATCCTTGTCACCCGAAGGAGTCGAAGTTCTGCTGTCCCCCCCCCCGTTCTGACCCCCATACGTCCCCAGGCGTCGCTGGAGGCCCCTGGACTTCCTTGGGGGCCCCCAGAGGTCCCGAGAGGCTGGAAGGACAGAGAGCAGACGCCCCCGACCCGCGATTCCCGACCCTCGTGGGCAGAGCCTCGCACGGCGAGAGGGCCCCCCTCCAGAGGACGTCGACGCGGCGAAGAGCGCTCATGAGGCCTTGAGCAAGGACCCGACTTGCTGCTCGCGCAGCGCACAACAGCTTGGTCCTCCTGCCGCCCCCCTTCGGATGCAACTCCTAGGAGGTCAAATTCTGATTTAGCCCTCGTCCGAAATCCCGCTTAATCCGGCTTAATCCTGATTAATCCCGTTTAATCCAGCTTAATCCGGCTTGATCCCGCTTAATCCCGCTTAATCCCGCTTGATCTGAGGCCCACTCTGGCTGAACAGCTCCCCAATGGGGCTTTTCCGACGAAAACCTCCCAGACGGTGCCTCCTAACCCCCCTCTTCTGTCGGTGAAAAGGGACCCAGACCTCCAGCGACCCGAGAAGTTCGAGCTTCGAGGCGCCCTACCTCTTGAGCCGTTTTTTCGCGGCCCCGGGGCCCGAGGACGGCTCCCAGAGGCAGAGAAATACAGAACCGAAGCGTATTCCAGGTTTTGTCGGGTCTCCGGAAGTCTTGGAACTGATGACTTGGCATCGCTCGGAGGTTGTGCATTGTTTTTGCGGCAAGGACCATCGAGGAGCATTGTGGGCCACCTTCCCAAATCATACACGCACGAAACCGACAGATGCATTGGGAATGGACGGCTGAGCGATGGCGAGAGGAGAAGGGAGGGGGCCCTAGCCTGGCTGCTCCCCCTCGGGCTCCCCCGCCTCCAGCGTTTCGAGCGGCCACTTCGCTCACTCGACGATCCGTGAGCTCAGCAAGCCGTGTTGCCACCGTGTTGAGCCTCAGCGTCGGATCGAGGGGGCGAGGGGTCGAAGCAACTCCACCACAAAATGGAAACACAGGCGCCATTCAATGGATTGTTCCTGGGCCTCAGGGGAGGGTGGCGGTGTATAAGTCACCACCGAGAGCCAGCGACTTTGCACACCGCCACCCTCCCTCAAGGTACAGGCAGAGTGCGTCGGAGGGCGTCTGTGTATATATTTTCGTGGCGCAGCAACTCAGCAAGGCTGCGTTGCGACGTCGCTCATAGCTCGTTTCGACCACTGCCTGGGACTGCTCAAACCTCGAACCCTAGGGCCACCACGAGGGTGCGAAGTTAGTCGCGCTTTGCGCTTCGAGGTCTGGGCGATGTCAGGGCGAGGCGCGAATCCCTCATTCTGCGAAGAAAGTCGCGCTTCGCGGAGCGCGGAGCGCGAAGCGAGACGACAGTTACCCTAGGTGTGACTGCTCGAACAACCTGGACCCCCGCTCCAGCCTTATCTGAAGCCGCGGCTCGCCAGAGCACAGACAGTTCGAGGCGGCCAGTCTGGAGAGCAGCGTTTTTTTTCCGTGCCCGCTGGGGGGCGTCCCGTCGCGGGCCCACCCTCCGACAAAAACCGCCCGGGAGGGGACAACGGGCCTGGGTAACATCTGTGTGTTCGACGCGGATTGGATGCAGGTCCGACGTGGATGCGACACGGATTCGAGGCGGACTCGAAGGGCAGGCGACGCGGATTCGACGTGGACCCGACGCGGATTCGGCGTGGATAGCCTCGCGACGGGCACGACTCTGACAGTGGCCGGACCCCGGACCTTCTTCCCGCGGCCCCACCCATCGGGTAAGAAGTCCGAGCGCTGCCCTCGCCGATCATCGCTTCAGGCAACTCGATGGGAGGCGAGGGTCGGGTTCGGAATTCGTGACCCACCTGGCGAGAATGCTATTACTACCCCCACCTCCTCCTCCTCCTCCTCCTCCTCCTCCTCCTCCTCCTCCCACCTCCGATCGTTTCAGGAGAATCGATGGTTGGTGGGGATCGGATGCCGCCACCTATCAGCCATGGGATCTTGGCGTGTCCATTGCTTCGAGACGGGCGTTTCCGCTCGATTTCTGCCCCCAGGACCCTCGCAGATCGATCCAGCTCGAGCAGATGCGCAGAAAGTTACGGGATCAGGGGCTCCGACACTGATTTTTTTTCTGAATGTTGTATTGCGAAGGCCTTACGGCCTGCGCCGCCGACCCTGAAGACGACGACGGACGACGACGACGACGACGACGACGACGACGACGACGACGACGACGACGACGACGACGACGACGACGACGACGACGACGACGACGACGACGACGACGACGACGACGACGACGACGACGACGACGACGACGACGACGACGGCGACGGCGACGGCGACGACGACGACGACGACGACGACGACGGCGACGGCGAATGCGACGGCGACGGCGACGACGACGACGACGACGACGACGAATGCGACGGCGACGGCGACAGCGACAGCGACGTCGACGGCGACAGCGACAGCGACGGCGACGACGACGGTGATGGCGACGGCGACGGCGACGACGACGACGGCGCCGACGCTGTTTCGCCAGGGCGGATCTCATGGGAAGCTGTCGAGCCCAGCGGGCGCCGGGCTCCGTGACCTGTGCCGAAAAGCGCGGGAGATCGGGCATCAGGGCGGAGGCGCGGCCTTCGCAGGCGGTCGCCCTGTGCCGCGTTCGTCCGACGTGGGCGGGGTCCCGCTCGCGCGCACGGTCGCCCTCGGCGTCGACCTGGCCAGCTGCGGGCAAACTTGACATCCTGGACTTTCTGGGAAGGGGTGCCTGAAAGCTCGCCGCCGGCGCCAAACTTTTCGTGAAAGCAAGTGGGTGGGTCGCGGGTGGGACGCGGGTGGGTCGCCGGTGGGTCGCGGGTGGGTCGCGGGTGGGTCGCGGGTGGGTCGCCGGCCAGGTCGCGGGCCGGGCCGCGGGAGGGACGCAACAACCAAAAAACAACAAACAAACAACATCAGCACCCTCAACAACAGCGGCAAACAGAATGCGCACCGCGGAATCATGCTTCAGCCACGCGCCGTTTGGCCCGGGCCAGCGGCACCACCTCGCCGGAGGCGGTCCAGGGGCCCGTGCTCGGGTCTTACGTGTCTCAGGAGGAAAAGAAACACACAGACACAATTAATCCTCCATTCCCCAGGAAAATATTGGAAAATATGGGAAGTGGGGGGGAAGACCAAAACCCAGAAAATATGGGAAAATATGGGGATTGTTTTTTATTTGTGTGTATTTATTTGTGTGTCCCAGTTCCCCTTCAGTGTCGGGTGTTGCTAGAAGTACCCCTGGCCCAAGGTGCCCCCAGGAATCTCGGGGTGGCCCAGACGGCCTTCAGAGCACCACTCACGAGGCCCAGAGGCCCCCAAAAATGGAGCGAAAAGCTGGGGGCACCTTGGGCCAGGGGCACTTCTAGCAGCGCCCGAACGTGACAAGGGTCCCCCCTCCGAGGTCCTCTGGCTGGCCCGGGTCTTGGAGCCACTTGGGAGCCAACCCCGCTCCCACGCCCTCCGCGGACCCGGGTCCTGGGAGCGGCTTCGTGGCCTGCCTGGGTTCGCGGTGCGGCCATGGCCGACCCAGGCCTGCGGCGCCTGAGAACAGATGTGCTTTGTTATGTGTTCTGTCTTAGCAGGGTTTTGGTCAATCGTTATACAACAGATATAATAACAACAGAAGTACAAGACACATGCAAACTTAAGTTAATTATGTATCCCAGAAGTGCGCACACACGACAAATAAACAAACCAACAAAAAACACACAGCGCAAAAACAAATGTCCTAAAAAGCTGACCCGGGTCAGTGCGTCCTCCATGTGCCGCGAAGACGTTGATCCCCTGGATGGGCGTCTTTCTCCCACTTGCTCTGGCTTGCGCGCGCGAGCGGGCTGGAGGGAGTGTGGGCTTTGAGTGAAGGGGGGAGGGTGTCTGGTTAACCCTGTGTGGTGAGGAGGGGGGATCGACTTTCAACGTGTCGAGGGATCTCTAGCGCCCATGCCCCCGTAAAAGGCGCTCTCTCTCTGTTTTGTGTTGCGCGCCCATGAGCGCCGAAGAGTGCTCTGGCGCACACTTCGCTGGATGTCGCCGTCGGCAGGGACTGGCGGGGCCTCCGAGTGGCCCTCTCCGAGGGTTCGACGCTGGGGTAGGCAACCAAACACCAGACTCCCCCTCGTCGTGGAAAACCGTGGCGGGCCTTTGTCTTTCAAAATGTGCGGCCTCGGAGGCCCTCACAGGGCCTCGGGACCGTCAAGATACGATTCAGGATGAGAAACCGGTCCCGGGGAATGGGTCGAGACCGTTGGGTCGAAGCCGTTCGAAGTTATGTCAAAATCATGACGTCGGGGGTCTGGGTCCCTTCCGCCCTTCTTCCCCTTCCTCCCGCATTTGTCCTTCTCCTCTCATCCCTCTCCTTCCCTCACGCCTCCCCTGGTTTTCTGGGGGTTCGGGGGGGGGCACATGAGGAACTGGCTTGATTGGAGAATGCCCAGAGGACCTCGAGGATATCAGGCGGAGCGTCATCTTTCTGCAGCAGCGCGGCATGCCAAGAGGCGTCCTCGGGCCAAGGGCACATGGGGGCGGCAACGCCAACTGTATAGCAGTTATTTTCCCCTGGCAGTGCGTGAGAGCAGGGGGAAGTCCATCGGGGCCCCCAGCCGATGCGAACAGCATAGTGGAGTCCTTGCCTGCATGGCTAAAGTCGAAACGGCATGGCGTGACGCGTTGCACTCCAAATGCTGGTGTTCTGAGCGAAGTTTATGTGCGCTCGAACTCCTGAGACTCATACCGTGAATACATATCAGAGTGAGGGGGCTGAACCGAACGGTCATTCACTGTCCCTGGGTGCGTGGCTGAAGTGGAATTCCGCGATGCGGATTCTCGTTGTTGTTGTTGTTGTTGTTGTTGTTGTTGTTGTTGTTGTTGCTGTTGTCGGTGTCGTCGTCGTCGTCGTCGTTGTTGTTGTTGTTGTGGTTGTTGTTGTTGCTGCTGCTGCTGCTGCTGCTGCTGTTGTTGTTGTTGTTGTTGTTGTTGTTGTTGTTGTTGTTGTTGTGCTTGTTGTTTGTTGTTTGTTGTTTGTTGTCTGCTGTTTGCTGTTTGTTGTTTGTTGCTTGTTGCTTGTTGCTGAATGTTTGTTGCTTGTTGTTTGTCGTTTGTTGTTTGTTGTCGTCGTCCCACCCGCGACCCGACTCGCGACCCACCCGCGACCCACCCCGCGACCCACCCGCGACCCACCAGCGACCCACCCTGCGACCCACCCGCGACCCACCCCGCGACCCACCCGCGACCCACCCGCGACCCACCCGCGACCCACCCCGCGACCCGCCCGCGACCCAAACCGAGGCCCCCCCGGCGACCCAACCGCCACCCACCCGCGACCCACCCGCGACCCACCCGCGACCCACCCCGCGACCCACCCGCGACCCACCCACGACCCACCCGCGATCCAGCCGCGACCCACCCAAAATTTTCGGCGCCTGCGGCGGGTTTCTCTGCATTCGTTCCGAACCTTACCCGCGACCCACCCGCGACCCACCCGCGACCCACCCCGCGACCCACCCAAAATGTTCGGCGCCTGCGGCGGCCTTCTTTTGCATTCGTTCCAAGTGGAGAACCTGCGACCCACCCGCGACCCAAATCGCGTTCAGTGTACAAGTCAAAATTTTCGGCGCCTGCGGCGGGCTGCTTTTGAATTCCTTCCAGGTGGAGGTGGGGAGCCCGCGACCCACCCGCGACCCAAACTACTTTCACTGAACAAGCCCGCGACCCACCCACCCCACGCGCTCCGCGGAGGAGGGGAGGAGGAGCAGGGCGAGGAGCAGGGAGAGGCAGACGACCAAGACGACGACGAGTACGAGAACGACGAGGAGGCCGACGACGAGGGCGAGGAGGAAAAGGAGGGGGGGACGGAGGGGGACGACAAGAAAGGAGGGAGGAGGAGGAGGGGAAGGAGGAGGAGGATGGACGACGACGACGGAAAGGAGGCGGGGGGAGGATCGGAATGGGGGAGGAAGAGGAGGAGGATGAGGAGGGGGAGGAGGAGGAGGAAAAGGAGGAAGAGGAGGAGGTGGACGACGACGACGACGACGACGACGACGACGACGACGACGACGACGACGATGAGGACGATGACGCGGACGAGGAGGAGGAGGAGGAGCAGGAGGAGGAAGAGGAGGAGGAAGAGGAGGAGGAGGAGGAGGAGGGCGCCATCGACAGGGAAGGTGAGGGCCACGAGGTCCGCCGGCTCGACGCCCGCGTCGCCCGCGCCCGCCCCCTCACTCTTATCTGCAATTGCGCGGTGCTACGTATCTGGGAGTTCACGCTTTGACCCCGCGACCCGCCCGCGACCCACCCGCGACCCAACCCGCGACCCACCCGTGACCCACCCGCGACCCACCCGCGACCCACCCGCGACTCGCCCGCGACCCAGCCGCGACCCGGCCCGCGACCCAGCCGCGACCCACCGTCGACCCACTTGCGACTCAACCCGTGACCCACCCACATTGTTTCAACAAAAATCGGTGCTTGCAGTGTGCTCGTTTTATAGCTTGAAAAATTATGCGCCTGCGGCGGGCTTCTTCAGAGCCTCGTAGACTGTAGACGTACCCGCCGCCCCTCACGCTTACCCGCAACTGCGGGGTGCTACGTATCTGGGAGTTCACGCCTTGACCATGATGGGAGTGTTTTGATGTTTGCTCATGGGAGCTTGCGGCGGCGACATTGAAATCTGCCTTTCCTGTATTTATGTGGCATGTGGACCGCGTTTGTCCTTTCTTCCTGCTCCTCCTCGCCTTTCCTGTTCCGCCTCCCTCTTCACATTCTCCTCGTCTCTGCGAATCTGGTCCAAATCTGGTCCACATGTGTTCAATATCCGGTCTTAAGCAGACCCACATCCGACAGCGCTGGAGGTCACGTAGGCTCACATGGAACAGACAGCAAAGATTCCGGCAGCCTGGCTCCGTCCAGCAGTCAAAGCAGGCAGAGCACTTATAGTCAGGAGGAGAACGCCACCGCCCCAGAGCCCGCTGTGAAACAAGCTGCGCTTCCGTTGCGTGCAGGAAGGTGCGTGGGGCCCACTTCGCCGCGATCGGTCCGGCTCGACGCCAATTTCGCCTGGCTCGCTGCGAGTCGATTTCGACGTTCGGGCGATCCCATGCGGCCCGATGCTCGCACGGCCCAGTTGCGTACGTACCCTGGCGCGGCCCATGCGATTCGACTCCGATGCCGTGCCGATGCATCCCGGTCCGATGCGCGCTCCGATCCGATCGAATGTGGCGATGCGATCTTGGCTGCTCCTCGGCGAGCGGGGCGTGGAGGAGGAGTGGAGGGACGGGATACACTCGCCGCAGCCCGTGCCCGTCCAGGCCAGAGGAATCTCGTCCAACGGGCGTTGGGCGTCGCGTGATGGGGGGGGGGCGACAAATTGGGGCAGCGAGGGCTGCAGAAAAGAAGCCCTGTACCCCGAGAGGGCCTTCGGGGCCCCAAATGGCGCCTGTGGGGTCCGAAAAGTGCACCTCTCCTACCCCCCGATTTGACGCCCCCCCATCAAGCGACGCCGGACGGAATGGTGGAGGCTAAGACGAAGCCATGACAAGGACAGATTCGGACGAGGAAAGATCGAGGATCTCTGAGGTCCAGCGGCTCTGGAGGATGTCCAGGGGGCCGCGGCCTTCCCAGACCGCTCCAGGACGCTCTGAGAGCGTTCCGGAACGCTTTGGAGAGGATGCATCCTCGCCCCCGAGGAGTGGTGGAGATCAGGGCGGGGAGAGATCGGGCCTCGAGGAAATCTGCACGGGTTCACTCGACATTGGTATTCGCGTGTGCAGGTGAAGCCCCCAGTCGGTTTCGCTAGTCGAGGTGCTTTTTGCTGGATGCATTCGTTTGTTTTTGGACGGACGTCGATTAGTACATCGCTGGGGTGCATTCGGAATACGTTGCCGTGCGCAGGTGGAGTGCCACAAGCGTTCAGTAAAGGGCAGTTCTCTGAATGGGAGTCTGCCCACCCCAGGGGACAGGCTCAAGGGGGATGCATCGACCCCCAATCGCCAATCCATCGCCGACAGGGGCCCGCCCAGGACCGTGCGAATTTGCTATCGTGGGCCCATCGCCGATCTGTCAGCGATGTGTCGCCGATCCCAAGAAGTCGATGGTCCCCCTGGAGGAGGAGGAGGAGGAGAAGGAGGAGGAGGAGGAGGAGGAGGAGGAGGAGGAGGAGGAGGGAGGAGGAGGAGGAGGAGGAGGAGGAGGAGGAGGAGGAGGAGTAGGGGGCAGGGGAGGGGGAGGAGGAGGAGGAGGAGGAGGAGGAGGAGGAGGAGGAGGAGGAGGAGGAGGAGGAGGAGGAGGAGGATGGGCAGGGGGAGGGGGAGGAGGAGGAGGAGGAGGAGGAGGATGAGGAGGAGGAGCAGGAGGAGGAGGAGGAGGAGGAGGAGGAAGAAGAGGAAGAAAACGAATCATAATAATACGCGACTACTACTACTACTACTACTACTACTACTACTACTACTACTACTACTACTACTACTACTACTACTACTACTACTACTACTACTACTACTACTACTACTACTACTACTACTACTACTACTACTACTACCCTACTACTACTACTACTACTACTACTACTACTACTACTACTACTACTACTACTACTACTACTACTACTACTACTACTACTACTACTACTACTACTACTACTACTACTACTACTACTACTACTACTACTACTACTACTACTACTACTACTACTACTACTACTACTACTACTACTACTACTACTACTGCTACTGCTACTGCTACTGCTACTGCTACTGCTACTGCTACTGCTACTGCTACTGTACTGCTACTGCTACTGCTACTGCTACTGCTACTGCTGCTACTGCTACTGCTACTGCTACTGCTACTGCTACTGCTACTGCTACTGCTACTACTGCTACTGCTACTGCTGCTACTGCTACTGCTACTGCTACTGCTACTGCTACTGCTACTGCTACTACTACTACTACTACTACTACTACTACCACTACTTACTACTACTACTACTACTACTACTACTACTACTACTACTACTACTACTACTACTACTACTACTACTACTACTACTACTACTACTACTACTACTACTACTACTACTACTACTACTACTACTACTACTACTACTACTACTACTACTACTACTACTACTACTACTACTACTACTACTACTACTACTACTACTACTACTACTACTACTACTACTACTACTACTACTACTACTACTACTACTACTACTACTGATAATTTTTCGAATAATAATAATAACAATAGGAAGAACACTATTAATAATACTCATAATACTAATACTAATAATAATAATATTACTATTTAAAAATAGAAGGCGAACAAGACGAATCATGATAATAATAGTGCTAATTTCAAGAATTAGAATAATATTACGAATAATGATACGAACACTCATAGTTAATAAGACGAAGAATATGACGAAGAGGTGGAGGAGGAGGAGACCCAGAGCCAGCTTTCCCCTCTCGTCACTTCTCCAGGGCAGGAAACGAGAAGGCGGAGCATGGCGCCGACCCTCTCCTCTCGCCCCCCCCCTAGGGTAGGGGACGAGGAAGGAGTGAACAACCATCACCTGCCGGATTATGGCGCTGGCCCGCCCCTCACGTTTCCCCCCCCCCCCAAGGGACGACGAGGGAGTGAACCATCACTCACTTGCTGGATCATGGCACCAGAGATCTCGGCCCCACGGGGCGCGGAACTTCTGCTCGTGGGGCCCTCGCGGGCACAGGCCCCCCCAAGGCGAGGGGCTCGGCAGTCCTGCGGGGGGGAGTGGGTTGCAGTTGTCTCCCTTGCCTCGAGGGAGGAAAAGCGGCACGAGCATAAACAACTGTTTGGAGGTCCGCGTGATTTCTTCGATAGGCGATGGGGTGCGCCAGAGAATCGTGTCCAGCGCCGGTAGGAGATTTCCGAGGGGTCCTCCGAAAGTTTGTATCTATGTTTCCTGTTGGTCACACGCAATGCTTGCACTTAGGGGTTCTTGCTTATCTTGATCTGTAACTCGATGGCTCCGCTGGGGTTTCCCTTGGTGTGTGCCCGGTTGGTGGCCAGTAATGGGCGCCCCGTTCGCTGGGTGCCTCGTTCGCTGGGTGGGTCCGCCAGTGTTTCGCCTGCTGCCCTGTTGGTGGTCACCCGTGGCCGCCTCGTGGGAGCTAGTGTCAGGCATTGGCATTGTGCACTGGATGACGTGCATCACATCGATTGCACCACATGGGCTGCACCACGTATGTTGCACCACATGCCGCATAGTTTGCACCGCATGGCACACATCCAGGGTGCAATAATGCTCTCTTTGGGGTCCACGCTGACACTCTTCGTTTTTGTGTGTGGCAGGGGTTGTGCGGTAGCCTCCCTCTCCGTCGGCGCCAGGGTCGGCAGCGCAGCCATCCATGGGTCACGTCGTGCTGCGCGTCGTCTCCGTGGGCCCCTCGTAGGCCTCCGCCGTGCGCACACCACCCCGCAGCCGCACGCTTCAGGATGGACGGGGCCAGGTGTCAACGCTTGGGTAGTGGGTATTGGTAGTGGTGGTGTTGGCGGTGATTGTGGCGTCGGCATTGTCGACAGTGACAGAGGAAGTATAAACATCGACAGGCACCAACCGCCACGTGGACTCTACCAGCACGGGCGACCACTGACCTTCATTTTTCGGCAGTCTCGCAATGTAGGACAGCAGCATTTGGGATCGACGAGGTCCACGTGGCTCACAACGGCCATATTGTTTCACGCCTACTTACCTCTCTGCCCACCGCATACCACGTTTTCGGTGGTGGCACTGGGAAGAGAACCAATCATGAACTTAGCTTTGTTCGTGCGTTGGCGAGCTCAGCCAAGCTCGAACTCAGCCAAGAGGCTGATCAAGCCCAGCTCGCCGCCGGTGGCAATTGAGGCAAAGCTGTGGCAGCTCAAAACGTGCTGACCTATGCTGAGTTGCTGACCTGAGCCTTGTTGACGGAGTCACGGGCTGACCTTTGAAGTACGCGCTTCGGGCCTAACTCCCCACACATCGAGGAAGCAGCGCTGGAGTTTAACGACCAGCACGCCGTCGGAGTCCTGGGCTCCCGAGGGCTCTTGGAGTCTGCAGACAGCTTCTGGAGGTCCGCGGAAGCTCCCACGGAGGCCCCTACACTCCAGCATGTCCAAGAGCATCGGTCCTCGAGCCCCGTGTGTCATGTTCTGCCCGTGCCAGTATGTTGACGACGTTCGTGTGCACAAGCGCTCACGTGCGACAAGCGTATCCATGTCCATACCCTTGCGGTCACGACACCGAGGCGCGATCCCACGAGAGGCGAGATGCCGTCGGTACGCTCCCGCACGGGGGGCCTCCGCGCATTGCCCCCCCCTCTGCATCCACGGGGTCGCGTCGGAGGAGACTGGACCGCGAGGCCGTGGACATCGGTATGTTTCCTGCCTCGGCAGGGGACGCCAATCGTTCCCCCCCGCTTCCTCCTTCTCCTTTCTCCCCCCTGCCCCTCCGCCTGTCCCCTGCTGCCCTCTCTCTGCCGACTGGGGCCAGCTCTGCAGCCCCCCTGGGCCTCCCGTGGAACTGTCCCCTGGCGGTCGGCTGGCTCACGAACCGACCTGGACGGTGCCAGGGAAGGAGTCCAGGGCCCTGCCTACCCACTAGTTTCCGTATTTGGGAGCCCCCCTGCGGACAGCGCCGCGGAGTGGGGCGCTCCAGAGGCGCCTCGCGCTCGAGGTGTGGAGAGCTTGACGTCCCTTCCTCGGCGGAAGACCATCGGAGGTAAGGCGAGGACGCCTCCGCCGGCGGAAGCCGGCGGGAATAAACGATGCGCCCCCATGAGTCGTTCGGAGATCCTGGAGCACCACCCCAGGGCGCCGACGGCAGAGGACCGCGTTGGAGGGCTCGCCTGCGTCGTGTGCCTTGCGCCCAGGTGGCCGGCCTCGGTGGCCTCAGGCTGTGCGGGCAGCTGGGATGCATGCCGTCCGAGCATGGATCGGCTAGGTCGAAATGTGTACGGAAAGAATGGGCACGAAGACTGGTAGCGGTTCTTGTCCATGTTGAACAGGACTCGCTGTCGGAGTCGCCGCACACGTTGTTCACTTGAAACAGAAGGCCGCCGAGCACTTGCTGTTGGTCATCGTCTCATTTTTTCCGTACCTACCTTTGGCTTCCAACACGGAAGTCATCGGTGGATCCCGTCGGGGCTTGTCCGCGCGTCCGCACCCTGAGGGCGTTGATGATACGGCGCGCAACTGTCGTTACCCAGGCCAACCCCTCCCCTTTAGGAGCGGTAGCGATCGTAGGCACGGGTGGCGGGGCTGCCCCCCCCCCCCCCCCCTCTGCTGGTGTCCGCGCAGACTGCGGAGATCGCAGCGCACTCCCGCCCCGACGTGCCCCACCCCTCCAGGCGTAGCCGTTACCCGGGGGGCCCAGCACCCGCTTCCCGCGGCGGGCAGCGGCTGTCGCCCTAGATTCAGACAGTCTCGATACCGCCGCAGCCTTTGCTGCCGCCTCGCGTGGCGGCACTCTCGCAGCAGGTGGGCTCACGCGCCCGCCCTCCGAGAGCAGGGCACCCTGGCCCCGTGGCCCCGTGGGCGGAGCGCGGGCCTCGGCGGGTGGCCGTTGTGGGCCTTGGTGCGTGCACCACGTCGTCTGGTGGCCGGCCAAGGAGCCGAGGAGTTCGGCGAAGGAGTTGGGTGTACACCATAGGCGATGCTTAAGACAACTTAAGTTTTCGGCCAGAGTCTCGATGATTCTTAACGTTTCAATGTAAATCTTAAGATTTGAATGGAAATGTTTGGTTTTTATTCAAGTTCTGAGACTATGAATTTCTTAACCCATGATTTCTTAAGCAGTTCGCACGGTGTAAAGGCGCTCTGGAGCGTCCCACAGGTTGGGCAGCTGGAGCGCCTACACCGAGCTCGGTGGAGGAAGGGGTACCGATTTCGCCTCTCGTCCTGGAGAGCCCTCGTCGACACGACCGGACTCTTCTCGAAGTCCTCGTCGGAACGCGCCCCGGGAGAGGACCAGGGAGTAGCGGTATGGGTACCCCTCTGTTCCCCCCGCGAGCTCCCTGGCCGACCACACGACTCGGTGCATACGTCGAGCCCCTCCCATGGCCGCGAGGATCAAGGCGACATTACGACCAAGGTTTTGGAGGTCTGTGCGGCCCTGCTCCGCCCGGGGGTAGGGGGAGGGGGGTGCAGCGCCGACCCCGTAAATCCGCACGGGCCTCCAGAAGCCGATGTCCATGCAGTGTGTCCCGGCCTGTCTGCTCGAGGAGGTGATGCGCTGTGGGCCGCTGTCTTCTTCTGGCCCGCCCTGCACCTCATCGCACGTGTTCCCTAGTTTCGCGGGGTGCGAGCGGGGCCGCCAGGCGTGACTCTGCGCCGTGCGCGCGCTCTGGGACAGCGATGTTTAGGCAGCAAGTCACGGAAGCTTCACTTCGCCTTGCAGTCATTGTATGTCGGCGAGTAGCGCCCACTGGCGCGCGCACCGTGCCCAACGGCGCCCAATAGCGCTCAATAGCGTTCAATAACTCCTAAGGTCGCCCAGATAGCGCCCACTGGTACCCGCTGTGCGCCATATGAGGTATGTGCATAACGTCCGCTGTGCGCGCTATTGGGCGTCGTTGGACGCGATATTCGGCGCCATGGGGACGACCAAAAGCTTTCGTGGGTTGCTTTCTGACGATGCAGCAAGACTATCGTGCGAACCAGTCGGCGAGGCAAGTTTTCTGTGGCCATATGCTCTGAGGAAGCCTGCTCACCGATTTTTCAGACGACGCAGCTCCACACGCTGTGTGCATGCCAGCGCGCGCGGCGGGAGCGCGTATCGAACTGGTCTGGTTCATGGTGGACGTTGGCCAAATCTTCAAAGACGAAGCTATAAGCACAAACGTTCGGATGTCCGCGCGATATACTCCGTCGTCGCTGGATTCCCCTCCCTGGCGACGCCTCCGGGGCCTCCCCTGGCGTGGTCCGCGTGGAGGGAAGGGCAGGGCGTTTGATCAGGCGGAGCCCAGCGCCGACACTAGATCCCCGCGCAGACCTCCGGGAGTTTATGTTTGTGGTGTATCTGGACCTCTCAGGAAGCCTCGTGCGGTTCCCTGCTCTGGGGCGCATTTTCCTCAATCTCACTGCGTTCCTGCTGCGTTTTCCAATTGCTTCCATCGGCCAATCTTCGTGCGTCTGTCTCGTGCTTCCTTCGTTTCTCGCTTGTTCATTCTGTGTTCATGCTCATGTGTTGGTTCGTGTTGTTGCAGGGCGCATTCACGGCATTCCATCGACCTCGGGTGCATCGGGACAGGATTGCAAACGTAGCGTCCCTACCATCGCTGGCATGTCTTGCGATGGTCTCCGTGATTTCGTTTCTTTTGCGAGCATGCTCGTCGCGTGGCCTTCTGCTATGCCCGACACCTTGGTTCCCACCCATGGCCGGTGACATGTCTCATCCCCTTCCTTTCTCTTTTCAGCACTTGCAGTTCCCGCACGGTCGCGCCGTTACGTTGCATCTTTGGTGTAGCCTCTCATGCCCGACGCAGACTCGATGCTTACTCGACGCGGATTTGGTGCGGATTCGACGCGGATTCTACGTGGATGCGACGCGGATTCGACGAGCCCGATATGAATTCGATGCGGATTCGACGCGGACAGCGGCGCGACGCGACAGACAAGGTCCCCCGAAAAAGCAACACAAGTGTCGATCATTGAGACACATTCTCTACCGTTGGCCCACCGGGAGCGTTTTTGTCCCGCTGTTTCTTGAATGCTGATTTGGTATCCAGACATCCAGCGGCTCGGCAGTTTTTTGTTCGTCTCCCTGGGCCCTATTCGGGCTCCGAGGCCCTGCAAGTCACGATGCCGGATGTTTGGGCTCGTGGATCGCTGGTTGTGCCGTTGAGCAAACGATCGATCCGACGATAGTTGAGGATCGATGATCGATGGGTTCGTCGATCGACTACCATCGACGATCCATGGGTTCGTTGATCAAGTCGCCCCCGCCCCGAGCAAGGACGGGCAAGGAGGAAGCAAGAGCAGCGAGGAGGAAAAGGGATGAGGAGAAGGTTCGAATACATCTGGAGCGAGTTGTCTGGAGGTCTCCGCAGGGGGTAAGCAAAGTTGCAAAGCAGAGTGTCCACACTGACGCGCATGTATCCTCGAGGAGGGAAAAGAGCCTCTTCTGAATCACAGTGCAGCTCGCCTCTTGGGTCCCTCCCAGGAGCTAGCCCGAACGGCGAGCACACATCGCGCGCAGCCCCCCTTCTAGAAACTGAGATCTGGCCTCGAAGACAAAAACGCAGCATCGAGAAACATGACGACCAGCGCCCTAGATCGAAGAAGAGAAGACGGCATAGCCATACACTTTCGCAAGCTTCGCGCAGATTCTTGGATCGTCGCTGGGCCCGCCCTGGCGGCGCCCCTGGCGCGCTCCACGCGCCCGGGAAGGGAGTCCCGCGCGGATCCAAGAAATCCACGCGGACCTTTCGAAATACTGTGCTGTTGCCTTTTTGGTTTCTCTACCGGATCCCCATCCTGCAGCGGCCGTGCTCGAGCTGGGCCGATCCTGCGAGAGGCCGGGGGCCCGAGACGGAGCGACAAGCACACAGAGTATCCCAGCAGAGCCCCCTCAGAAGAGCAAAGGAGGAGGGGGAGGAGGAGGAGGAGGAGGAGG